GTAGTTTCCGTAGGACATTATCAGTTTGTGTAGGAGGTGCAGAACGAGAAGGCACAGAAACCTGAGTGATCGATCTGTCTGAGAAATTGGCCAACTGTTTTTGCAAAGACTTTTAACAATCAAGACAAACAAACTTTGTGAAATTTACAATGAATTGGAAAGAGCAGTAATATAACAATGCATCATGCGACAGATTTTTCTAGGAAAGCTTATGTTTGTTGATTAAACTCATAAATGGTAATCGTACAAATCTTCCCAGTTCCCAACAGTCTAAATTTTAAACATGTACTGTCGCTTCAATACTTACAGCCCGATCACTAAGTTTTCTGAACTTTTTAACTCCATTATTAATTATTATTGCGACCACGAAGTGCTCGAACCAGTTCTAAGTTTGACGAGAGCTATTAGACAAGATGTTGCAAATTTCCAAAATAGGATTGATTTGAACCTATTCCCACATAATTATTGCAAAAATAAGTTATTCTGGATACATGTTTAAATTTTAGTAATGAGCCAAGGAAGCAGCAAAAGTAACAGTATAACTACAATACGTTTAGAACAACCATGTTCATTTCTTAGTATTTCTAATCATATTGCAGCTACTGCAGTGTGCATCCGAAATGTGAATACCGGGTTTCGTCTAAAAATGTATCCTTTGAGCTTTACCATCTGCGTAGATCAAAAACAAACAATTAAACTTTTACCACAAAAGCTGTTTCCCGACCCTAACATTTTAATTTTCCCACTGGTCCTGTTGTCATGATTGTCTCTAAACGTCTCACAAACTAAAATTTTGTCATAAAGCAAACACAAGATATTTTTGCATAGAAAAGTTGTGCGACAACGTATTTATTCCTCCGGGATTTATTAGCTTTAGGTAGGGCCACTCTTGTGCAACGACTTCAAAAATTGCACCCATTTTGCCGTCATTATTAACTTCAGCTGTAGGAGTGGCCTGTGAATTAGAGAATCGAGCGATATGAGCTCAAGTGGAGTCGTGACGTCCAAGCCCTACCCTCAATTAAGTCGACAAATTTCAATCCAAATTATTGATTCTACACAGATTTACAACTCACCGAAAATAACCGATGCTGAACAGTCAAAACAAAGTTGAAAACGAATATTTGAAATGGCTACCTCTGACCTGTGGTCCGTGGGTTTATTTAAGGCAGTCGATACAGATTTGGCTTTGTTTTTGTTTCCTTTTATGGGAAAGGGTCGCCAATTTGTACCCCTGGCTGAACTCTTGCAATAGATGTTCTTTATATGGTCCTGCAATAGGGTTTTACGCAACTTGATCCTTTAAGCTGTACGATTTAACCATCGCTTACTGCCTCCAACGTCACCACACACTAACTTATTTATAAGATTTGATTTGCTAATACCCAGCACCCAGTTAGCTGATTACACCGCTTCTGGGGAAGCAAGACTAAATTGGGCACATGAGAGGGGTAATTGATACTTAAAAATGGTGCAGAAATGTATAGGGAGATTATATGTGCATAAACTGCAGAATTTTACTGTAGGGCGTGATATCCTTATATAATATGTTGAAGACAGCCATTTAAAGACAAGTGCCTGGAATAGGTAATGGTTGCGAGGGAGATGATGAATGCAGACAAAGTTACTGCTATTATTTATGGAATGATAAGGGCATTATAATGTTCGGGCCCCTAAAAGTAGGCCAAGCCCTGACTCAGCGACTAAATGGTACCTATAAATATAATTTGCTAATGATGGTACCCAAGAGTGCTCTGATATAAATGTGGTATTATCAAAACCACTGAGTGGTACAAATATGATTTGATCGGGATAATTTGATAGTCTACTAAAATGTGCCAAACTCCAGATGGCAATGAGTAAGGTAATTGAGTGGATCCGTGGTGTCACAAGCAATATTCAATAAGTGGTGTCACAAGCAATAAGTGGTGTCACAAGCAATAAGTCAGCTTTTACCACTCCATCAGCCATCTATGATCTATTAATGTTGGGAACTGAATTATAACCGGGTCTGAATCTAGAAGCTGTTGTCCAATTATCGTTGACCTTAATTGCGATGACGAACTATGACATGTTAACCCAATCGATCAAGGATTCTAGTAATCTCTTTATTTTTCAGTTGTCACCACAAATGTTAATACAAATATTAATACATTGGATAACCCTCTTGTTAAACCATCATTTGTATTCATTATATCTAGGAATAGCACTGAAACTTGTGGCCTGTCGTAAACAAAATCATAAATGATTTGTTTTGTATAAATAGTGCACTAGTGAAAAGAAAAAATCATTTCCATAATCAGTAAACTTTGTCAACAGCACGGTTTTTTCTACAACCCAACTCATGAACTTTATACTAAAATAATTAATTTAGGTGATCGTCTAGCATTATCATTCAATGGAAACATTACCAGCCATCTATTTTTATCTTGCTAAAACTTCAATCATGACATCCTTATTGATAAGTACAAATGCCTTAACAGAGTTCAAGATGACTATTCCGTTCACCATGAGTTATTTCCTTGTTTCATGATTTATATTTCCTAGATAAATTTAAAATGCCATCCACAGCAATGGTCGAAAATTTATTTCCCACTTATTCTGGAGAAAGTTGGATCGTGAAGCTGTTTCAAATATGTAACTATGGTAACTAGTATTGTAACTATGGTAACTAGTAGTGTAACTATGGTAACTAGTAGTGTAACTATGGTAACTAGTAGTGTAACTATGGTAACTAGAAGTGTAACTATGGTAACTAGTAGTGTAACTATGGTAACTAGTAGTGTAACTATGGTAACTATGTTTGGATTGCCCGTCAAATTATATGATATATTAAGTGAAGCTGTTTCAAATATGTAACTATGTTTGGATTGCCCGTCAAATTATATGATATATTAAGACAAAACGGGACTACCTTATTCGGAATTAGGAAACGACCGAAATTTAGGTCTGCCTTGAATGCAGATGCATGGGTATAAGTCGTTGCCAATGCTTATACTTCTAGTACCATCAACCATGTTCTTTGATACTGATAGTTGGGACTAGTGGTTCCAACTATTAAACGACATGGTTGATGGTACCCAGCTATTAGAATACCACCTCTATAATATCAACCATTCTAATGTGTTTTTAGAATAACTGAATTGGAAATTAAATGATTTTATTACTGATATTTATAAAATGGCCGTTATTAATTGCGATTGATCGACGGAGTTAACTGCTAGCCTATTTAAAGCTAAATAACTGGGATGAAGATTGCCAGGGTTTCCAAGAATATTCAGCTCATCGTATTTTTGTACAGAATTAAATTCAGTACAAAAGCATAATACCGACTGTTTTTTTCCGATCAATATCTTTACGGTGAATGCACGGATATGCAGAGCCCTTACTCTTAGGTTTGGAAGCAAGTAATAGAAATCCGACGGCGAGTAAGCATAGTACGGTAGCAGCTTACTACTTACAATCCAATTGTAAATATAACTGGTCGATGGTAAACGACGTTTATTTGCAAATAATTCATTGACCAGATATATACAAAATTGTGCTTTCTCTTTCAACATGCGTCCACGATTCGAGAAATAGAGAGTAAATGATGATACTCTTAAAAGATAAAATATCATTTTATTATTAAGGTGAAGAGATCAATCAAAGAAGCAAATATTGACCTTCACGATTCTACTGTTGTACGTGTGTTATAACATGTTCCGGATAAGTGATCATATCAAATATGAAATATGGTAGGAGTGTTTTGAATTTATCGTGTTCTATCACAACTTTTTGATATCCTACTGCTTCAAGGGGTGTCATGAACCAATTCCAAAGTTACTACCACACAGTTTGATGTATATAACTATATAAGTATAACATAGAGTGACATTTTCATTATAAAGTAGAATAGTATTTCTGAAGCACTGTTGTGCAGCATAAACTTAATACTTTCAAAGCTCAGTAGCGAACATGTGAGATATTAATATATTGTAACTAATAACTACATCAGATTATACTTCAAATTGGTTTCAATGGTCCGACGTCTGGTTGGACAGGTAATCATATAGTATGCATATGCATTGTGTGCACGAAGATGCATGATAAGAGGAGACTTATTGGCTGATATATTAGTATTTCTCTTAGATTTGTTGTGTAATAGTGTTATACTAACACATTATCTTTTGGAAGCGGTCTAAGTCCCGCTTCCTAACCATCAAAAGGGCCCTAAAAACTTTTTTGAATCGTTCTGTCCAAAATTGCCCACTCAAATGGTTATTCTGGTTCTTTTTTGTGACACCTTGCACATTTGAATCCAATAAAAGCTTGTTTAATAGCTCCAATCAATGAAAAATTCGGATAAGCACAAATTTTTACTAAAAAAGGTCACAAAATCGAACAGAGGCAGCATCTACGAAATTTAAAGACTTATATTTGACTATATATCGGCGTGTTGCTATAAACGGTTTAGCTTACGTCAGAAAGTCTACTTTCAGCTTCTTAACCCTTTAATTTCTTTCTTGGGAGGTTCTCTCTCGCAGCACTCTTTAAATAGTGAGGGGGGGTATTGCAGGGTTGCAATTTGCTCTGAGACTCTGAGGTCACTTCCTCTCCGCTCCATCATATGTCCCATGTTTTACTGGACACGTGACTGAGTCAAATGTGGCTGTTATAACTAAGTTAAAAATAAAATCTGCCAAACCAGTCGATCTCTCGGATGATGTCTCAGTATACTGCCCACCTTTGACGTAGTCATTTAAAATGGTGATTTCTGATATTGGGTGATATTGTTGACCAATTTCAGTCTGGTTAAATCTCCAGGATGTTTTAGTTAAAGTAACTGTGATTCTTTCTTGAGATTGAGAATACGAGTACAATTCCAAAACTTAGGCTACTAAAAGTATAAAATCTAAAACTTAGGCTATTAAAAGTAGAAAATCTAAAACTTACGCTATTAAAAGTAGAAAATCTAAAACTTAGGCTACTAAAAGTATGAGTCCAAGGAATTACTTACTTTACTTTGGGCGATGCTCGATCGAAATCTCCTCCACTCTACGTCTCCAGATAGTTCTGTCGCACATAACTGTTCGGAGATCTTCTACCCGCAACCCTGTGTCCCTGGCTACGGTGTCAAGAAAAGAGAGTGGTCTCCTCCCACGCCTGAACTGTGGCAGCCGCCAAGGAAGGATGGTAGAGATGACCTGGTCTGAAGCTCTCATGCAATGCCCAGCAAATCTGGCACGTCTCTGAGCAACGATGGTGGAGATGGAAGGGAGGTCACCATAGATTTGCTTTAGGGTTGGATGCTTCTTCCATGAAAGATTCCTGGCTTTCATTAGGAGCCTGGTGTAGCACCCGTCGAGACGCTTCTCAAACTGCTTGTTCAAGGTCCAGGTTTCTGAGCCATACAGCAGAACAGGTTCGATGCATGCTCTGAAGAACTTGACTTTCAGCTGGTCAGAAATGCCAGAGGTCCATACCTTCTGCAGTTTGATACAGGCTGACCAAGCCATGCCTTTCCTGGTGTTGAAGTCCTTCCTGCTCTCTGCAATATATGAGCCCAAGTATTTGAAGTCATCAACCTGCTTGATCTGGTAACCGGATATTGAGTTTACGGGGGCAGCATCAGGAATGTTGATGGTCATGTATTCGGTCTTGGAAGCATTCATCGCAAGTCCGACATGTGCTGCTGCAGTCTCTAAATCCGAGAGCAGTTGCTGGACTTGCTCTATGGTATCGGCAGTCAAGGCTAGGTCGTCAGCGAAGTCAAGATCTGTGACTCTGACCGCAGGTACTCTCCGACTTTGCCTGGGGATGATGGTTAGGCCATGGTCAAGAGTCATGCAGTTCCTAAGGACATAATCGAGGACGATGATGAAGAGGAAAGGAGCGAGTGTATCACCCTGAAGGACCCCGATGAGTGTTCTAAAGAAGTCTGTAAGGCCGTCAATGGTTTTGACTCTGGAGTGCGATGAGTCATACAGGAGCCTGATAGCATCAGTTATGGGAGCAGGGACGCCGTAGAGGGAGAGGATGTGAAACAAGGCATCCCTGTTGATACTGTCGAATGCTTTCGAAAAGTCGACGAACACGATAGCTGCTGATCGATTTCCGATTTTACACTCTTCTAGGATGCGTCGTAGGGCAAGTATCTGAGGGAGGGTAGATCTTCCTCTGCGGAAGCCATTTTGGTTTGGCCGCAGTAGGGGATCCAGGTATGGGTAAATCCGGTTGAGGATGAGTTTGTTGAAAACTTTCGCTGCAACCGGAGCCAATGAGATACCTCGATAGTTCCCGGGGTTGGTCAGGTCGCCTTTCTTGGGGATGGGTATAATAGATGCCGTTGTCCAGGCTTCAGGGATTACTCCATCAATTAAGGCCCTGTTGCAGAAACTGAGGAGGTCGTCACGAAGTTGGGGAAGCTTCCAAACTGAGGGAGGGATGCTATCTAGGCCTGGAGACTTGGAGGACTTGATACTTGGAAATCTATTCAGCTCATGAAACACCTTAATGGGGCTTTCTTGGGAGGTCTCTCTCGCAGCATCTTAATAGTGGAGGGGGGGTGTTGCAGGTTGCCAATTAGCCTGAACTTGAGGTCACTCCTTAGCCGCTTCTATGTGCCCCATGTTAGGACACTGACTAGGGTCAAAGTGGCTGTTAGTAACTTAGTCTTAATAATCGCCAATCCATCCAGTCGTATCTGTCGATGAGTCTCGTTTATGCCCACTTTGACGTAGTCATTTAAATGGTGATTTCTGTATGGGTTTTTTTGACCAATTTTTTGGTTAAATCGTCAGGATGTTTTAGTTAAGTAACTGTGATTCTTTCTTGGAGATTGAGAATTAGGTACATTCCATAGGCTTCGTTTTTTCTAAAGTTTATTGAATCTAAAACTTAGGCTATTAAAGTAAAAAATCATAAACAGCTTGGCTATCTAAAAGTTAATCTAAGACACTGGTACTAAAGTTTCATCCATAGGATTTTATGTACCTGAACAACAGTCAGTGAATTCGAGGGACAATTTGACCGGTTCTTTTCATTGACATTTATTGAAGAGGTCAAGTCGCAGGTCATGAACACTGAAGGATTAGAAGAAATGAAAGGTCATGTGAAATCAATATCTTCGCCGAAAAATGCAAGTTCAAAGTTGTACTTTTCAAGGTTTCAAATAAAATGATTATTACAATAAACTTGGTGTCGGATGCAAAAAAATGAAGTGTCAATGAAGGTCAAAACGAATAAAACCGTGCATGTGGTAAAGACCTGTCCTGAAAAATGCTTCGTGACGGTTAATCTAAAGTTTAAAATCTGTGAGTGGCTTTCGATTGGGAATGTAGACGAAAACGGTCCTTTGGGTCTGCTTAAGTCTGCACAACAATTCACTGATACAAACATGGTGAAAGCTGACCGAAAATTAACCACTGTCGAATCACTTCGTGATGCGAGTATGGTAGTTAGTACCTTCCCTTTTCTTTTGCTTACTCGGGGGAACCTCGCTTGGTTCAACTTTATCAAGAATCAAGTTTCGTTCTAGATCATTTAGGGATTCTTGAAGGGCGGCAAAGGTTCTCGTTGGGTGAGTATTGGTTCCGCTCCTACATAGGGTTTCGCCTCAGGTCGTCGTAAAGTCTACAATCGTGAGAACGTGTTTTCATCTTCAATGATCGGTCAAATTGGTAGCTCGGCATATACCGCACCTTCCGGGTTTTGACGATATAAGAGCAGGCTATATGGTGCTTACAAAGGGCGTGACTAGGTATTTTTCGGTTAGATGGTGATTTACGGTTCAATGGTTGAACATGAGGCACCATTCGGAACTGGCGCCAGCCTTTCACCTCTTCTACCAACTGAGCTGCAGGTTCAGGTCCGTTTTTTCAGCTGTTCTTTTAGATCGTGTTAGTAGACAGAAGGCGTTCGGTGTTTTGCCGCTCCTGCGAAACAGTTAATGAAAGTACTACGTAGTGCTGTTTTGAATTGGTTGGGGTAGGTCAACCTGCGTGATGATACTGACTGAAGGCTTTGCCGGAGATCTTCTATACCTTTGTACCATGGCAGATTGAGTGTGCGTTGTTCTACGTACGCCTGTCTGGCTAGACTTGTGCAGCCAGCCTGTTCCATTTGCTCAAGTCGGTTTGAAATACCCAAAAACTTGCTTTGATGCCTTTATCACTAGGGGGCAGCGGCCTGTATCACCCCATACACTCGCATTTGAAGTGTATACTGTATAGATATATTATTCAGTACCATACGCATATTCACTCTACAAGGTGCACAAACTGTCTCAGGAACAACTTGAAAGGAAGACAGTACCTCCAACAAGACTCGTACATGCTACTAAAGGAGGACCACTTTACCGACTTGAGAAGTATGTCACCCATTTGAGTCGGAAATACTAATATATATACTATAATACGGAAGAGTTCTTACTGGACACACCGAATTTTGATGATTATATGAATTTTGCTTGATAGAGTGCTTATCTAAAATGTTTTACAGGCTTTAAAAGTGTAGTTTATTTACGAAGGATTCAAGCCTAACATTGTGTGTTTCCCTTCGAGTCCTAATGCAATGTATATTATATAATTATATAAAATGGGCCCATTCACTGAAAATATAATTGTTGTAAACCTCATACCAACATGTGCGAGGTAATCAATGGGCTATAGTGCCTAGTTGGGTAACCATCGTCCCCAGGATGTCGTGCCACAGAGCTTCGAGCCTCAGGACGTTTTGTACCAGTACATTGAGTTACAGTGACCTAGTGATCTCTAGGTTTTAGTGACTCGGGCCCTAATTCTAGAACTGATCACAGAATAAAATTTGCATAATAAAGCATCATAATTTGTGCCACATTGAGGTCAAAATACTAGCATTAGATCCATTATAGTTTGATAGAGAAAGAAGAGATTAGTGAATCGTACTTCTTCTATTTGACTACAGCTGCAGGGTGTTACAAGACTCGTGTCAAAATTTTGGATGACTCTCAAAATCTAACAAATGAGACAAATGGTTTAATTTTTGTTTTAAATTGTTGAAAAATTATAACTTTTTATAATGCATATCAAAAATAACTCTAATATTTTAACAATGTTTCGAACCAAGCCCCCTTTCTGCATATAATAATAATAATAAAAGGTTTTGGACCCTCGGAATTAGCATATTGTAATTGTCACGTTTTACCATGTAAACTGTCTAGTTTCAACTTTTTACTTTTTAGCCTCCATTCTGATATTGTTTTTCTGCTGATCTAATGTTTTTGGGACTGGATCTGAATAAACACGATCTTCAAGATAGCCCCACAAAAATAAATCAGTCAGATTCAGGTCAGACCTGTAAGGAGGCCAGCTGAAGTCTGCTTTTCTTGAGATCAGTCTTTCTCCAAAATGCTCCATTAGCCAAGCCAAACTTTCGTGCGAGCAATGTGGAGGAGTCCCGTCTTGTTGGAATATACAGGTATTTTTTCTAAGTACTGGGATAACTTTTCCATGCAACATAGCAATGCAACATTGCTGTCCTTATCGTCTGCCTTCTCTAAATCATATCACTGGATCAACAGAAACAATTTTTTAAATGTTAAATAAGTAGAAAGTATTGACTAAAGCCTAAATCACATAATGGCATCACTTTCTTCGGCTTCTCGTTCAGTTATTCTGAGTTACAAAAATTAAAAAATTAAAAGGATTTTGAAATGCCTTCGAGCGTTCGTAATAATGTGTTTTCAGAATTATATCCCTTCACGCAACGTCCTGTCAAATTACGTCCCTTTGGGATTAGGTAATTTTTATAAGAGGGCGTATATTTTCGCTAGAAAACTTCAACATTTCTTACAATAAACGTTTTAGAGCTCATGTGTAGTTGTCGGACGGAAGAGTGCCTGCGAACTGCGAAGGCGTACAAATATTTAAATTTTGTCTCAGTGCCCACCTTTGACGTAGTCAAGAGTGGCGCCTCTTGACATTAAGTGAGATTGTTGACAAAAACCTAACATAATATCTTCAAAGTTCCCTGTAAGAATCACAATATTATTATTATTAGGAATTGAGGTGTTAAATTCGATGGAACTTTTAAAATGGAAAGTCAGATCAATAGCGTGAAGAGGAGATGTAGCTGGACAATGATGAACCTAAAAACTATTGCCCCTTATGTTCGTTTCATCTACAACCTTACAACATAGAAGACTGAACCGCGGACTTGGTTCCCTTCTATAAGAAGTCCCACATACTCCCTATACTCTATAGGACAACACATCTTCTTTAAAGTATTCTATTAACCCACAAATCAGTTCACGGTACTGCACCTCATGGTTACCTCCAAGCTTTACTGGATGTTAGTGTAGTAGAAATAGAAAACCATGATTGAAGAAACCGGGTGACGGTCTCATGCTCAAGATACCAAAGAATAAAAATTCCAAAGTTGATTATCTAGAGTCTAGACGTTTTTCAAGCCATGCACCGGTTGCATATAACACTTTTTCACTGATGTTTAGATATTTATAACTGATACTAACTTTTTCAAGCGGATGTTGAAAAACCATTTATATAATTAGTTTTTTTTCTGCACTCTATTTTGTGTCACTGGTTCTACTTACTAAGATCTGTATTGTCTTGATTGATATTTCATTGTACTACCTTATATACTTTCACATACAATAAATTGTACGGCTTCTGCTGTTACTTATATTAGTGTGGTTTCTAATAAAAGATATTTTAATTTTGTCTTTGCCTTATGAGTTATACTTTTGTTCACATTTATCATATTCTCATATCACTGAAAGTCAGCCGCTCTGACATGGTTAATCACCTTCCTTGTGTTGTGTCCTCTTGTCCGAAGATTTTTGGACGAGCTATCAGCTGTGATCTCTCATTCACCTAAGTTGCTGAGCGCTATTTTATCTTTGTTGAAAAAGGGTATAGTAAGAAAATTTGTTTCTGCAGTTGGACTACCAAAACACTGTATGAATAAAGAAATTCATATAAAATTCAAAGTGTAATATTGTCATTGCAAATGCAGGCGTTTTGAGATTTATTCCAGGTAACCTCTCTCAAAGTTTAAAAGTGTGGTGCAAAGACTAAGTCCCCAACTTCCAGTTCCGTTAAAGTCAGATTTCCGTCACAATTGGTGAACAAACCATTTCAGCATCAAGGATGTGTTGAACCTTATAGTTGCTGGTATAAGTTATACCAGAATTTGTGTCGTTGAGAGTGTTTGTTGAGGCCCACATAATGAGGCTCAAATTCGGTGGGAAATAAAATGCTGGTGAGATGGCATGATTCTTAGAATAATCATAAATCACAGTACATATATAGCATATGATTATGTTGGTAAACAAGTCGTTTAAACCATAACCATGCACATTGCCGTGGGATATATTTGTCTTTCAATTTAAGTTAATCGGTTGTTTGACGGTTTGTTGAAAGATCGATCAAACAATACTATATTCGGTCAATGCAAGCTCAAGAGTTCCTGTCAACTCTGCGATACATGCAGGTTTACTTTATCAGAAAATGCTAAATGCGGACATGCTTATTTTAACTATTTTTGACTTTTAACAGCAAATTTACGCCAAATTCGGCATGAAGGTTATATTAAAAGAATCTAATAAAAATAAAAACTATTACTGGTACCTATTATTAAAGTACTAGACCCTGGTCATTAGGAAAGTTCGCACGAGATGGACCACGTTTTTCCCAATTTAACTTTAGAAGATTGTCACAGCAAGAACTTTTAAGATATTTATTATGGAGATATTTTAAGATAGGCATATGATATTTCACATGTAACAGTAACTCCAATGAGAACTGCTACTGGTAAAGCTATAAGAACTGTTACTAACCTAACAGTAACTCCAATACGAACTGCTACTGGTAAAGCTATAAGAACTGTTACTAACCTAACAGTAACTCCTATAAGAACTGCTACTGGTAAAGCTATAAGAACTGTTACTAACCTAACAGTAACTCCTATAAGAACTGCTACTGGTAAAGGAGCCAGTATCTTCACCACAGCCCCAATGCTCCGGAGTGACCGGAAAACACAGAAGAAGACGAGAAACCAGCAGATTATCACAGCAAGAAGTACTCTTCCACTTACAACCATGCTGCTGTCTGATATTGTAGTGTTCTGAAGTGTTAGTGGGCTGGGTTACCTAGTAACCTAGTGACCTAGTAAACTAGTTACCTAGTAACCTAGTTACCTAGTAACCTAGTAACCTAGTAACCTAGTGACCTAGTAGTGATCTTGATAACAAATAAGATTACCTTGAGAACGTAATCAGAGATAAAGTTGTCCACCCCTTCATCTTGCCACGGCACCTTGTTGTTGATCGGATCGAAACTTTTAACAAAGTAAATCCCACTCCAGCCGAGCACTATAACATTGTATACGGCTACAATAAACCCTCCAATAACAGTGGCTACTCCTACTCCCCGTAATCTGGGATTCAGGTTCCCAAACGCTTCAACTGCTCCTCCTACACATGTTAGGTTTATCAGAGCGGAGAGTAGGGTTACTATGGTTACTATGGTAACTATGGTTACAACACATTCAAACTGCTCTCATGTTCATTATTTCCTTAGAAATAGATATAACTTTGATATTTACCTTGAAACATTTGACCTATAGTTAGCTCCACGGTTAAAAGTGGCATCCCTATCAAAACCAAAGCCAAAACGTACGGTATCAGGAAGGTAAATCCACCGTGTTTACTAAAATATAGCGTTATTTTCCGGAGGGGGGGGGGGGATTGTATATTATTTTAACCGGCGATTCATTCACCCCTGAATATTATTACATATTAGGTATTGTTACCATGGCAACAACTCATTCACCCCTATACTAGCACGTGATGCCTAATTAGCACGTGATGCATAACTAGCACGTGATACCTAACTAGCACGTGATGCCCATATAAGGAGCTGAGATTTCCATCCAGTTAGTTACTTACTTAACCAGATAAGGAAATTTCCACATGTTAGGTAGACTACAGGAAGCAGCTACAGAAGCGAACCAGAATGTAAGTTTACCAGCCCACCTATCCCGACGTTTCACCTGGGAAACAGTTGCTAGGTTACAGTTGCTAGGTTACACCTGGGAAGAGAATGTAAGTTTACCAGCCCACCTATCCCGACTTTTCACCTGGGAAACAGTTGCTAGGTTACAGTTGCTAGGTTACACCTGGGAAAAGAATGTAAGTTTACCAGCCCACCTATCCCGACTTTTCACCTGGGAAACAGTTGTTAGGTTACAGTTGCTAGGTTACACCTGGGAAAAGAATGTAAGTTTACCAGCCCACCTATCCCGACTTTTCACCTGGGAAACAGTTGCTAGGTTACAGTTGCTAGGTTACACCTGGGAAGAGAATGTAAGTTTACCAGCCCACCTATCCCGACGTTTCACCTGGGAAACAGTTGCTAGGTTACAGTTGCTAGGTTACACCTGGGAAAAGAATGTAAGTTTACCAGCCCACCTATCCCGACTTTTCACCTGGGAAACAGTTGCTAGGTTACAGTTGCTAGGTTACACCTGGGAAGAGAATGTAAGTTTACCAGCCCACCTATCCCGACTTTTCACCTGGGAAACAGTTGTTAGGTTACAGTTGCTAGGTTACACCTGGGAAAAGAATGTAAGTTTACCAGCCCACCTATCCCGACTTTTCACCTGGGAAACAGTTGCTAGGTTACAGTTGCTAGGTTACACCTGGGAAGAGAATGTGAGTTTACCAGCCCACCTATCCCGACTTTTCACCTGGGAAACAGTTGCTCTTATATTTGATCCTTCGAACAGTTCGGAAACAGTTGCTAGGTTACAGTTGCTAGGTTACACCTGGGAAGAGAATGTAAGTTTACCAGCCCACCTATCTCGACTTTTCACCTGGGAAGAGAGCGAAATGTAAAAAGAAATAACTCATGTGTAACATGTGTAACATGTGTAACATGTGTAACATGTGTAACATGTGTATAAATGTAGTAACTGAAATTAATTAATTTATTATTGTAACATCTGGTCAAGTGTAACTTTATTGCTGATTAAGAAAGCAAAGATTAAGAAAGCAAAGTTAACTCACGTGAACAACAGCTGGCAGCAATTATTCCAGGACCCGGGACCGTCGACGAGTCCGACTCGGCGCGCGTCCTGGTAGGTTATAAACCTACATTTACAATAAACAATTGGAGTTCACACCACTTTTGTCGTTTTTCAGGTAACTTTGACGTCAATTTTATGGACGTCAACTTAATTTGTGCGTCAAAAATTTGTTTCAAAAATGTATAATACTATTCTATATTTTAGTCAGCAAAAGTACTGAAGTAAGGGGGTTGGGGTAAGTCATTGTCTTTAAGGTTAGTAAATTCGAGTGCCATGAAATATTACAAAGTTTATTGCATTGAGTTTGTGACTTGGATTATTAAGCATTTAAATTCGTTATCTAGATTTTTTCCCAAGAAAATGTGACTTGCAATTTCTAACACTGTTAAATATTATCATGTCCCTCGTCCATTTTTTATATCCGTGGTTTTCGATATCAAGTTAAATGGAATCAAGCATTTAAAACCTTATTTGTAACCATGGTAACTAGTAGTGTAACCATGGTAACTAGTAGTGTAACCATGGTAACTAGTAGTGTAACCATGGTAACTAGTAGTGTAACCATGGTAACTAGTAGTGTAACCATGGTAACTAGTAGTGTAACCATGGTAACTAGTAGTGTAACCATGGTAACTAGTAGTGTAACCATGGTAACTAGTAGTGTAACGATGGTAACTGTCTCCTCACCTAGCAACCAAACTCTTCTCTACAACTATCTCCTTCTTCAACACCGACCACTTGATTGGTAACTCTTAGCAGTCCCTGCTTAAGTTTTATAGATTACCGTTAGCAACAGTGGCGTAACCACTGGTTACCAACCCCTCCCCTCTTCTGAGCACCCTTCCCATTTCTTCCTTGACTGTTACCTTATCTTCTTATCAGGAGTGTGTACATCCATCTCAAACACCTTGCTGGATTTGGGAGTTGTCATTGGGACAGAGTCTCTGGAAAAACTTCATCAACAGTTAATCACGTAGGTAAATTGTAGGCTGATATATTAAATTACCATGGTAACAGCTGATAATAATATATTGCGTTACCATGGTAACTGATCACTTTATCACCTAATTTCATTGGGTTGGTTATGGACATTGGACAAACATACAAATATTCCGTATGATTTTTTGAGATTATTTCACGGATTATAAGTTAAGATAGCTTTAGTTGCAAATTATTTGTTGCCATGGTTACTGACTCCCAATCATCACGTTGCCATGGTTACTGACTCACAATCATAACGTTGCCATGGTTACTGACTCACAATCATCACGTTGCCATGGTTACTGACTCACAATCATCACGTTGCCATGGTTACTGACTCCCAATCATCACGTTGCCATGGTTACTGACTCCTTTCAGGTAAAACTCTGTCTCTGATGTCTTCTGGAGCAGGATCGCCGCCAACTATTCCTGACGTGTTCGTTAATGTCATAAAACCTGGGGTTATTTGAGAAACACAGATCACCAAGTTAGTTAATAGGGAAACACAGATCACCAAGTTAGTTACTACTTTTTTACCGCTCTGCTGACTTTATTAAGGTGGACTTTTTGCTCGCTTATCCCGTTCTGCAACAAAACTTCCTTTATATTTCGTTATTTTATCTCTTTAACAGCCCAGTTCCACAGCCCAGTTCCACAGCCCAGTTCCACGGCTAAATTCCACGGCTCAGTTCCACAGCCCAGTTCCACGGCTCAGTTCCACGGCTCAGTTCCACAGCCCAGTTCCACAGCCCAGTTCCACAGCTCAGTTCCACGGCTCAGTTAAGGTTAGGGTTAGGGTTAGGAATAGGGTTAGGGTTAGGGTTAGGGTTAGGGTTAGGGTTAGGGTTAGGGTTAGGGTTAGGGTTAGGGTTAGGGTTAGGGTTAGGGTTAGGGTTAGGGTTAGGGTTAGGGTTAGGGTTAGGGTTAGGGTTAGGGTTAGGGTTAGGGTTAGGGTTAGGGTTAGGGTTAGGGTTAGGGTTAGGGTTAGGGTTAGGGTTAGGGTTAGGGTTAGGGTTAGGGTTAGGGTTAGGGTTAGGGTTAGGGTTAGGGTTAGGGTTAGGGTTAGGGTTAGGGTTAGGGTTAGGGTTAGGGTTAGGGTTAGGGTTAGGGTTAGGGTTAGGGTTAGGGTTAGGGTTAGGGTTAGGGTTAGGGTTAGGGTTAGGGTTAGGGTTAGGGTTAGGGTTAGGGTTAGGGTTAGGGTTAGGGTTAGGGTTAGGGTTAGGGTTAGGGTTAGGGTTAGGGTTAGGGTTAGGGTTAGGGTTAGGGTTAGGGTTAGGGTTAGGGTTAGGGTTAGGGTTAGGGTTAGGGTTAGGGTTAGGGTTAGGGTTAGGGTTAGGGTTAGGGTTAGGGTTAGGGTTAGGGTTAGGGTTAGGGTTAGGGTTAGGGTTAGGGTTAGGGTTAGGGTTAGGGTTAGGGTTAGGGTTAGGGTTAGGAGTACAATCGCTCAGCGCCACTCCCAAAATGGTTTATGGCGAATTTTGTCGAAAAGTAAGATTTTAGGCAATGAGTTTGATCAATCACTCTTAAATAAACATGCATATGCGCTACGTTTAAGCCTATTTGAAGTCTCATACGACCCTTCAGAGCAAGGTATATTTACACACGCTTCCCTATACCCCCCGCCCCCCCCGCCCCCTATAATACCAGGCCTCTTGCGAGTTGCGAGAGTGACCAAAAGTGCACAGTTTTAAAGAAACCCCTGTGAAATCGCATTCTTGCACAACTGGGTCTAATTATAGAGGGTAAATAAGAGTCCGTAACATCAGATACCCGGTATAGATTGGCAAGGATTGACAGAGGTTTTGATCAGATTGAAATCAATAAATTGATAGTATACATGCAGGTAAAATCGGTTCATCTAAATGGTCCCTTTTTGTGCTGTTTCTTTATGTGGAATTTGATAAAGCAGTATTTGTAATTTAGTTATCGAAACTCTAATATTGTGTGGTTAAACCTATTCAGGTCCAGTCCAGCCTTTTCCGCGTAAGCTAAGTCCTAATTACTAAAATATGCCGAGAATTTCTGAACACCAACATCAATATTTGATGATTTTAGTATTCCTCAATCTAAAATCTTCGAATTATTCTGCAAGCATTTTTTATCCACGTTCATGCAATTCGATCACTTTTGGGGAAAAAATATTTCCAAATTTCAAACTTTTTTTTCAAGTCTCCGAAAAAGAAATTTAAAGGTGAAAAATGTTGAAAGTTTTTCTAAAAACTAACATTTCTTTCTCCGTGTTTCAAACGAATTTAAATCATTTAAGCCAAAAAAAAATTTCACTTTTTGTGATTAACTAATTGGTAATTATCCAAGTTAAGCTGATTGTCCGATGTAAAAACTTTGATACAAAAGTTTACTCCTTGATAAATAAACATTCTAGGTTAAATGCATGCCTTCATGATGTTCACACTAAAGAGTATTTGGCAACCAATAAGGTGGTACAAAGGTGGTAAAAAGTGGTAAAAAGTGGTGTTTCCGTTGAGATACAAAATTTGGCAACAAGTCTAATTATGGTTCGTAGGGGTCCTAATACCATATCCGTGAGAAATCCTTGTGACATTCGAATCCACGGAATGCCAC